TGATCCCAGCCTCTAAGTAATTGATGTTATGCTGCCATCTTCTGGTTAAATTCAAAATTCCTTCCTTAGTAACTTCAACTATTTTTATGTATTTTAAACACAGAAGGTATCACAATTTTAATTACAGTATTACATTTTTTAGATTGACGGTAATGATAAATAACTTATGGAAACAAGTGAATAAATAAAACTTGACACTTAGTACATTTAAAAGTCATTGAAAAACCCATTCTAGCTAAAGATAAACTATGAGTCATTTGTTTATTTCAAAGACTTCATCATACTCACTGATATTTAAGGCTTAGCCATTTTTTTCATCATTATGACATTTTCCATTGTTTTTCTCTAAGTAATATAAGCATGCAGTGAATCTGTTTAATACCATCCTTAGATTTGGACAAGAATGACCTCTGCTCTACTCTAGGTCTTGCCCTTTTGAGAGCCCTGAATATCAGACATGACTCAATTTATACAACACATGTGCATGCACACACAAAGGAGCACTGTCAGATACATAGACACACACAACTTTTTAAAAAAAATCTAGTACCCACATCACTTAGGATCTGGTACTCAGTGCTCACATATGGTCTGATAACTCTAAATATGCATGTTCATTAGTAATTCAATTCAGTTCCCAGGGAGACATTTTCCCACATCTCTTGCTTTCAGTCTCCTACAAAAAAGTGACTATGCCTGATGCTATAAAGGAGATGTTGCCTTGGAATGTGGGGGACTTTGCTGCAGAGGAAAGAGAAAAGACACATTAATTGCTTAGTAAACCCTCCTCAAGGACAGCACAAATGCAATAGATTCTTACAAAATGGAATACCTTGTCTCAGTGGTATTAAGTGTCCATCTTCTTGCTTGTCTTTATGTAACAGGAGGGACTCATAAATTATGATGGGGATTGGCAATGAATACTCATGAAGGCTGGAAATTATTTCTTAATATTAATCAATTTACTCTTAAATCTGAATTTATATTGGTCTAAACATATGCTGGAAGTGTGATAAAATGTTTTTACATTGTCATCCATATGAACCTTGAAAGATAGAATTGCATGTAATTTTACTTTTATAAACTTTTTAATGTTTAATAGTAAGTTTTAAAAAGGTTAAGTATATGCTTTAAATACTGTCAATTAAAATTTGACATTCATTAATTATACTATACATGTCTTCATTTTGGTAGATAACTGTATAAAATATTTCATGTTTTTTGAAAATATTAAATATGTAACATTTTTAACAGTTACTTCAGATTACTTTTTTTTTTTTTTCTTGAGACAGAGTCTCCCTTTGTTTCTAGGCTGGAGTGCAGTGGTGTGATCTCGGCTCATTGCAGCCTCCACCTTCTGGGTTCAAGTAATTCTCCTGCCTCAGCCTCCCAAGTACCTGGTACTACAGATGTGTGCCACCATGCGCAGCTAATTTTTGTATTTTTAATAGAGACAAGGTTTCACTGTGTTGGCCAGACTTGTCTTGAACTCCTGAGTTCAGGTGATCCACCCACCTCAGCCTCCCAGATTACATTTTTTTATACAAATATTTTCAAAATTTCTAGACTTCGAATACAATTTTATTTTGTTTTTAATCTGTTAGATCAGGGTTCAGCAAACCTTTCTGTAAAGGACCAGTTAGCAAATATTTTAGGTTGTGTAGACCATATGGTTCCTATCACAACTATTCAGCTCTGCTATTGTAGCATGAAAGTGCCATATGCACTTCATAAACAAATGAGCATCATTGTGTTCTAATAAAACTTTATTTACAAAAGCAGGTGATCAGCCAGATTTAGCCCATAGGCTATAGTTTGCCAACTTGTACTTTAGATTGTTTATGATGAGAGACCCTCCGCTTCTAGTCATGAGGGACAACTAGATTTATCATCTCACTTTCAACAACTAGAATACTGAGTAAAATATAAGAAAAATAGTTTTCAGACCTCAGATAACAGGCAGCATATGATAATGATCTTTGAGTGAAAGGAAAGAAATACAGTGAGCCCCACAATTGCTCCAGCTTAATGCTGGGTAGAAATTAGTAGGCTGCAGCAAAAGGAGGAGGAGACTCCAACAGACCAATGTTCTAACTGAGTTGATATGCCATAGTTTGGAGTACAGGAAGGTAGCAACATATTGGAGAAGAGATTGCTGCTCAGAGGGAAATTGGCGGGGAATGAATGAGAGCTACGGAGATCTGTAAAAATGTCTTTAGGATTCTTTAGCTAATGTGTAGTTTGTGTATATATGTAAAATAAGTTACCCAAGATTAGGAAAAGAACACCCAGAAAGAGGCAGGCAGCACACGCTGTCCCCAGTGCTAACTCAGGGCTGGGAATATTTCATGTTTCCAGCAGCCAGAGGACAAAAAAGGAGAGGATTAAGTAGAATCCTCAAAAGACTATATTCTTGGTTTGCCAAGGCATTGCCCTAGATTATAAAGTCTGCTTCACTCATGCTAACAAAGCAAATATCAGGGGAACCAAATTCCAAGTAACTCAACTATATCCTAAAACAAAATTCAACTAACAAATCCAGCTCCCAGTAAAGGAAAATTTATAATGCTCGGAATCCAATCAAAAGTTACCAAACATGCAAAAGATACAGCAAAATAGGAAGAGTAGAAATATAATTGACAAGACGAGACCCAGAAATGACACAAATGACAGAATTATCAGAAAAGGAGGTAAAATACCCATATATGTACCCCATATGCTCAAGAATGTAGAGGAAAAGGTGAATGTGATGAGGAAAGAAATGTAGATATGAAAAAGAAACACATTCAACTTCTGCAAATGAAAATATAATATCTGAAGTGATAAATATACTGGATGGTATGAACCACAGATAAGATACTACCAGAGGAATTATCAATGAGCTTGAAGGCAGAAATAGACATTATTAAAAATAAGACAGAGAAAAAGACTGCAAAGTAAATGAGCAAAGCTTCAGGGGACTGTATGATAATATTGAACCGTCAAACACATCTAGAGATGTAGTCCCAGAAGGAGGGAATGAAGATAGAAAAATGTTAGAAAAAATAAAGTCTGAAACTTTTTCAAATTTGATGGAAATAATAAAATCACAGATTCACAAAGCTCAAAATAATCCTTATAAAAGAGACAAGAAGAAAATCACATCAAAGCACATTATAATAAAATTGCTAGAAAATAATGATAGCAAATCTTAAAAGTAGCCAGAGAAAAAGAAGAAACATTATGCATAAAGGAATAAAATTAAGAATGACCACAGTCTCTTCAGAAATTATGCAAGCCAAAAGAGTAGAGAAACATCTTTAAAAAGATGAAAGAAAAATTATCAACTTAGGATCCTATACCCAGCAAAAATGTATTTCAAAAGAAGACACAATACTTTTTCACACAGGCAAAAACCAAGAGAGTTCATCCCAGATGTGTGATATAAGAAATATTAAAGTTTATCAAGTAGAAGAAAAATGATACCAGATACAAATTTAGACCTACAAAAATTAAGAGCACCAGAAATGGTAACAGTATGAGTAAATATCTGATAATGATAAGTATGGTAAAATTATAAATCTGTGAATAAATATAAACTAATGGTTTTCTCATTTAAAAATATGTAAAATATAATTGGCTATTTAAGATAAATATAATAAAAATGTACATGGGTTTAAAATAAAAATATATGAAAGCCATAATGTAAGGAATGAGAGAGGAAATAGAAGTATACTGTTATCCTTATACTGTACTTTAAGTGGATTATAATATTATTTGCAGGTAAACTGTAATATGTTAAATAAAGATGTACATTTTTAATTTTAGAGAAACTAATGTGAAAACAAAAAAAATAAAGTGGTATAGCTAACAAGCCAATAATGGAGATTAAAAAGGACAATAAATAAACAACAACAAAACATTCAATCCAAAATAAGGAAAGAAAAACATATAGGCAGTTAGAAAACAAATAATAAAGTGGCAGCTATAAACTGAGCCCTACTGACTATTACATTAAATATAATGGCCTAAACACGCTAGCAAAGCAAAGATTGTCAGACCGAATAAAATACAATGTCCAACTGTATGCTATATACAAGAAACCCACTTTAAATATAAAAATATGAATAAGCTAAAAAATTAAGAGTTGCAAAAAGAAGACATACCATACAAACACTAATTGAAAAAAGGTATAAGTGGTTATCAGAGAAAGTTGATTTAGGACTAAGGAATCATGTGAAGGTACCGAAGGACTTTTAAAATAAAGGAGCCAATTCATCAAGAGGACATAATAATCCTAAATATGATGTACCTAATAATAAAGTTCTAGAATATATAAGACAAAAACTGATAGAACTGAAATGAGAGATAGACAAATCTAAAATTATATTAGGGATTTCAACTCCTTTCTCATGATGGTTGATAAAACAAATAGATCATCAGAAAGGACAGAGAAAATTTCAAACACTTTCAACCAACTTAACCTAATTGGCATTTATAAAACAGTCCAACCAACAAAAATAGAACATTATTATTTCAAGTTCGCAAGGAACTGTCACCAAGATAAACCATATGCTGAGCCACAAAATAAGTCTCAATAAATTTAAACTACATGCTTTAACCACAACATATTCAAATAAGAAATCAGTAACAGAAAGGTATCTGGAATATGCCCGATCATTTGGAAGTTAAACAACATTTAGATCATTTTTGTCAATTCAATGAAAATGATGAGAAAGAATTATAGACCAAAGCTCATCGTCATTAGAGTCCCTTCTGATATTCTTAATTTATTTTCATAGTTTTCCTCAAGCTCAGCATTAAATAAAGTTTTTTTCAGACTAGTCAAAATTCTATTGTCCAAACAGATTAAGCATAATGTTATGAAAAGAAGTGTTATTCCTTTTGTATAATATATTATTATAGGTCTTTTCTCTCTTTCTCTCTCTCTCCTCTCTCTCTCTCTCTCTCTCTCTCTCTCTCTCTCTCTCTCTCTCTCTCTCTCTCTCTCTCTCTCTCTCTCTCTCTCTCAGTTTTCTCACTCTCAGAGAGGGAAAAGACCCCTCTGTGGAGATGCTGACCCAGTTTATTTCAACTTATTAATACTAGACTAAGTGACGAAACAGGCAGATGAGCTGGCATATAATGAGACCATACGTGTTTACAAAGTGTCTATTTTTGACATTTGGGGTTTCACCCACCTGCCTACAGAGAAATGATCAAAGATAATATTCAACATCTTGTATTACTTTGTGTCAGACATATTAATTTGTTCCAAGTCAACACATTTATTAAGCAACTACTGTAGTTGTATGGACAGTAAAGAAAACAGTAATCAGTGTTTATTTCACACTTTTTAAAAAATTGCTTTTTAGGTTTTGGGGTACATGTGAAGAACATGCAGGATTGTTGCATAGGTACATACATGGCAATGTGGTTTGCTGCCTTCCACCCCATCACCATATCTGGCATTTCTCCCCATGTTATCCCTCCCCAACTCCCCACCCCCCACTGTCCCTCCCCTAGTTCCCCCCAACAGACCTCAGTGTGTGTTATTTCCCTCCCAGTGTCCATGTGTTCTCATTGTTCGACACCCACCTATGAGTGAGAACATGTGGTGTTTGATTTTCTGTTCTTATATCAGTTTGCTGAGAATGATGGTTTCCAGGTTCATCCATGTACCTACAAAGGACAGGAACTCATCGTGTTTAATGGCTGCATAGTACTGTATGGTGTATGTGTGCCACATTTTCCCTGTAGAGTCTATCATAGATGGGCATTTGGGTTGGTTCCAAGTCTTTGCTATTGTAAACAGTGCTGCAATGAACATTCATGTGCATGTGTCCTTATAATAGAATGATTTATAATCCTTTGGATATATACCCAGTAATGGGATTGCTGGTTCAAAAGGAATTTCTATTTCTAGGTCTGTAAGGAATCGCCACACTGTCTTCCACAATGGTTGAACTAATTTACACTCCCACCAACAGTGTAAAAGTGTTCCTATTTCTCCACATCCTCTCCAGCATCTGTTGTCTCCAGATTTTTTAATGATTGCCATTCTAACTGGCGTGAGATGGTATCTCAATGTGGTTTTGCTTTGCATTTCTCTAATGACCAGTGATGATGAGCATTTTTTCATGTTTGTTGGCCTCATATATGTCTTCTTTTGTAAAGTGTCTGTTCATATCCTTCACCCAATTTGAATGGGTATGTTTGGTTTTTTCTTGTAAATCTGTTTTAGTTCTTTGTAGATTCTGGATATTAGCCCTTTGTCAGATGAGTAGATTGCAAAATTTTTTTCCCATTCTGTTGGTTGCCATTTCACTCTTATGATTGTTTCTTTTGCTGTACAGAAGCTCTGGAGTTTAATTAGGTCACATTTGTCTGTTTTGGCTTTTGTTGCCAGTGTTTTTGGTGTTTTAGTCATGAAGTCCTTGCCTACACCTATGTCCTGAATGGTTGTGCCTAGATTTTCTTCTAGAGTTTTTATGGTGTTAGGTCTTATGTTTATGTCTTCAATTGATCTGGAATTAATTTCAGTGTAAGGTGTCAGGAAGGGGTCCAATTTCTGCTTTCTGCACATGGCTAGCCAGTTTTCTCAACACCATTTATTAAACAGGGAATCGTTTCCCCATTGCTTGTTTTTGTCAGGTTTGTCAAAGATCAGATTGTTGTAGATGTGTGGCATTGCCTCTGAGGCCTCTGTTCTATTCCATTGGTCTATATCTCTGTTTTGGTACCAGTACCAAACAGTACTGTTTTGATTACTATAGCCTTGTAGTATAGTTTGGAGTCAGGTAGTGTGATGCCTCCAGCTTTGTTCTTTTTGCTTAGAATTGCCTTGGCTATGTGGGCTCTTTTTTGGTTCCATATGAAGTTTAAGGTGGTTTTTTTCAGTTCTGTGAAGAAGGTCATTCGTAGCTTGATGGGGATAGCATTGAATCTATAAATTACTTTGGGCAGTATGGCCATTTTCACAATATTGACTCTTCCTAACCATGAGCATGGAATGTTTCTCCATTTATTTGTGACCTTTATTTTGTTGAGCATTGTTTGTAGTTCTCCTTGAAGAGGTCCTTTACATTCTTTGTTGGTTGTATTCCTAGGTATTTTATTCTCTTTATAGCAATTGTGAATGGCAGTTCGTTCTTGATTTGGCTCTCTTTAAGTCTGCTACTGGTGTATAGGAATGCTTGTGATTTCTGCCCATTGATTTTTGTATCCGGAGACTTTATTGAAGTTGCTTATCAGTTTCAGGAGATTTGGGGCTGAGATGATGTGGTCTTCTAAATATACAATTATGTCATCTGTAAATAGAGACACTTTGACTTCCTCTTTTCCTAATTGAATACCCTTTATTTCTTTTTCTTGCCTGATTGCTCTGGCTAGAACTTTCAGTACTATATTGAATAGGAGTGGTGAAAGAGGGCATCCTTGTCAAGTGCCAGATATACTAAATGGGCAAAAGCTGGAAGCATTCCCTTTGAAATATGGCACTAGATAGATTTTACATCTATGTTCATCATGGATATTGGCCTAAAGTTTTAGTTTCTTGTTGAGTCTCTGCTGAGTTTGGTATCAGGATGATGTTGGTCTCATAAAATGATTTGGGAAGGATTCCCTCTTTTTGTATTGTTTGGAATCGTTTCAGAAGGAGTGGTACCAGCTCTTCTTAGTATGTCAGCACCACATCACACCTACTCTAAAATTGACCACTAAATTGGAAGTAAATCACTCCTCAGCAAATGCAAAGAACAGAAATCATAACAGTCTCTCAGATCACTGTACAATCAAGTTAGAACTCAGAATTCAGAATCTAACTCAGAACCACACAACTTCATGGAAACTGAACAACTGGCTCTTGAATGTTGACTGGATAAACAATGAAATGAAGGCAGAAATAACGATGTTCTTCAAAACCAATGAGAACAAAGATGCAACATACCAGAATCTCAGGGACACATTTAAAGCAGCATCTAAAGGAAAATATATAGCAATAAATGCCCACATGAGAAGCAAGGAAAGATCTAAAATCAACACCCTGTCATCAAAATGGAAAGAGCTAGAGGAGCAAGATCAAAAAAACTCGAAAGCTAGCAGAAGACTTGAAATAACTAAGATCAGAGTAGAACTGAAGGATGTAGAGACACAAAAATTCTTCAAAAAATTCAATAAATCCAGGAGTTGGTTTTTTGAAAATATCAACAAAATAGACCACTAGCCAGTTAAAAAAGGAAAGATGGAATAATCAAATAGATGCAATGAAAAACAATAAAGGGGATATCACCACTGATTCCACAGAAATACAAACCACCATCAGAGATTACTAAAAACAACTCTATGCACATAAACCAGTAAACCTGGAAGAAACAAATAAATTCCTGGACGCTTGCATCCTCCCAAGCCTAAACCAGAAAGATGTCAAACCCATGAATAGACCAATAACAAAGGCTGAACTTGAAGCAGAAATTAATAGCCTACCAACCAAAAAAAAGCCCAGGTCCAGTTGGGTTCACAGCTGAATTCTACCAGACATATTTCATGCTCTTAAGAGACTTTTAATCACGGGAGCTTGTAAGACAGGTAAATACATTGTCAAATATAAGACAGAACAGGAAATGTGTCTTAAATAATGTAGGTAAAAGTGGCAGGGATCCAGAAGATTATAGCTCCTTGGGGGAGATCTGGGCCTTAAAGGGCAAGTAGTCTTTAGTCCTTGCACAGATAGGTTCTTGAGGTAAAGGAGGCAATAGGTGATGTTTCAGAGAAAGCAACATTGATAAACACACACACACACAGACACACACAGCCCCCCGAGTAGCTGGAACTACAGATATCCATTACTAAAGGCCTAAGATACTGATGAAAAGCAAGGAATCACTTGTGGAGAGATGGATCACATGCTTTACTGAGACTCTACAAATACAGCCTTTATTGTTTTAAACCAATACAAAGGAAAAGTTGCCTGAGGGATGCACTACTACTGTACATTTTATTTGTAGCTTAAGTAGTTTATGTTGGAATAAATGCAATTTTAAAATACATTCATTAAAATAATACTAAAAATAAAAACACACACACACACACACACAAAGTGCTAGCTGTATTAAGGGAATACTAAATCTCTTACTTTATCTAGAGTTCAGATTCCTTCATGCTATATTTAGAGCAACAGTGGGATAAGACTGGAAAGGTAGATTGAGGGCTTGTTTAAGAGAAACTTAGAATATGGAACTGGGTATTTGTAATTTAAGAGGAATTGTTAATGTAGAGATGTTCACATTAGTTCACCAGAGTTATCGCTATTCTAGGGAATATACACTAACCAAATGCCCCAATCTCTCTTCACATATAATTTATCACTTATAATAGCAAAGAAGAGTGAACCAAGAAAACGTAAAACTCTTTAAGTTGCAAACCTTGTCAATTCAACAGGGTTTACAACACAGGAAAAACCTTAATCCATATATCATTTAATATATGGATGTAACAACATATATGTAATCATTCACCTGTTGTTGAAGCTATGGGTTGTTTCTAATATTCTGCCATTGCAATAATATTATAGGAACCTTCTTTTGCTACTTTTTTTCACGTTGTTTCTATAGCCTAGAATCTTAGAGTTTAAACTGATAGATAAAATAATTTAAGATTACTGATACATGTTTTTAAATTAATTTCCTCAAGTATTTGTGAAAATTTACAGATCTAGTTGGGGTTTTAAAATTTAGTAGTGTGTAGGTATTTTAATTTTTTCACCTAAACTCTTTATAGGTGCTGTTAAGCTTTTGATAAGTTTTATTCCATGAAAGACTTGTACTGAACAAAACTTAGTCTTAGTGAAAGAACTTTAATAAGCTTGACTAAACATTTAGAAAGCACATTGTGTTCAGAGAAACTTTGTATATAATAAATAGAATAATAAAAGATTGTATTGGATGACTAGTCTGTAGTTTCCTCAAGGAATGCATACAATGAAAAAGTTATTTTAGTTACTTCCTCAAAATAGCCAACATAATAGGGAAAATGGAGAAAATGTACTCTGAACAACATGGAAAGGGAACCTGAAAATCTAAAATGTCAACTTGGAGGAACGACATTAGAAAACAAAACCAACAAAAGAGAACACTCTCCAGTGAGATGCATGAAAGGCAAACATACACTAGAGTTGGAATTTTTCTAAGTCTATGCAGAAATAAGTAGCATATTTGACCTTCACCATGATCATCAAGCACTTCTTTGAAATTTTGTTGGTGCTGCTGGCCTCTATCACTATCTTCTCTCTAGATCTGAAACTGGTTCTTTTACAGCAAAGAAGAGTGAACCAAGAAAGCTTAAAACTCTTTAAGTTGCAAACCTCATCAATTCAGCAGTGTCTACAACACAGGAAAAACTTTATGCTTCCTCAGAAGTCTATGAGTTCTCAACAGCACTGAAAAGGATATACTCTGGCCATTCTCCATGAGATGCTTCAGCAAATCTTCAGCATTTTCAGGGCTGATATTTCTCTGGATGGCTGGGAGGAAAACCACATGGAGAAATTCCTTATTCAACTTCATCAACATCTGGAATACCTAGAAGCACTCATGGGACTGGAAGCAGAGAAGCTAAGTGGTACTTTGGGTAGTGATAACCTTAGATTACAAGTTAAAATGTACTTCCAAAGAATCCATGATTACCTGGAAAACCAGGACTACAGCAGCTGTGCCTGGGCCATTGTCCGAGTAGAAATCAACCGATGTCTATTCTTTGTGTTCAGTCTCACAAGAAAGCTGAGCAATCAAGGAAAAGACCCTTGAAAGACATGGAACAAAAGCTTACCACAGAGTCTAGAAGCCCAGGGTAGGTGGAGGGGCTAGAGGACTTCTCCAGACATTATTATTTCTGTTTGTCATAGAGTGGTAATACAATTTATAATACAACATATTGTTTTGATTTGAATATGTTTATATATCTGTGTTTTAAGATTCTGCATACTGACCACAGTTGTTTTTATATTTTGTATAATGTGGGTTTATATTTTCTATCCATTTTAAATTGTTTATAAGTCAAAATAAATTCATTAATATGGTTGGTTCTTCAAATGGGTGTATTTTCATAAAGGCTGACTAGGTAAATATAATAAAATATGTCACTAATGTAAAAATACTTTCCTTAGCATAAAACTCCATTTCAATGATTTGCTTATTTTCCAGAAATTGCTAGAGACAATGAGAAATACAATAATTTGCATTGTAAGATTTTAAAAATATTATTACACAGTGAATACACAGACAATAGAAATATAGTGAAAGACATGAAGAGTTTGCAGAGAAAAAAACTACATTAAAAGAGGTTCAATCTCACTCATGATAATAAAAATACAAAATAAATAGCATACGTGCCATTTATAGTACAATCACTATGGAGGTAATTAGGGGATATCTATCAAAATTGCAGATGCATATAGCGTTTGATCTATAAATTCTAGACCTGGAAATGTGTCCTACAAAAATACTTGCTCACGTATGAAATAACATACAAACAATATATCATTCACTGCAGCACTGTTAGTAATACCAAAAGACAAGAAACCATCTTGATTTTCATAATTAGAGACAGTTGAGGCATATTCATATAAAGGAACACTATTCAGCTGGAGAAACACAGGAGAGGATGTTTCTTTTTAAAAAGTTGAAAATAGGCGAGATACCAAGCAGTGTATATAAAATGCTACATTTGGGGTGAAAATGTTAAATAAAATTTGTCCTTACTGGATATAAATAAACAATAAGATACAAATTACAATGATTACCTGTATTCATTCATTACCTGTATTTAGGGGAAGAGGGAAGACTGAAGAAGGAGATTAGGGTGGGAGACATTTTACATCTCCTTTAAAATGTTAATATTAAATTGTGTGGCATTACAAATTAAGATAATTTAAAATGTATCTAACAAGTCACAGTTATCAGAAATATGCATGAGGGAGTCTTGCTAGTGAAGGTCAAAAGAACAGCACTGAGCTAGCCTACCCCTGGTTGGCATGTCTCCCTGGAGGAGGGCTGGAGAGAAGCACACTTGTGCCAAGGGAGAGGATTCCTGCTCCCGGAAGATGTCAGTAATGAAGGGATTCCAGCTCTTCTAGCCAGGGACTCCCAGAAGTCACCATTAAACAATGTGGGGCCAGAGAAACTAAAGTTCATTGAGGCTTGGTAACTACCCGACTTTGATCCACTGTAAGAAGAAGCAGAGCCATGGCCCAAAACTCTGATGCTGGTTCTACTACCATGCGTCATGTTCTACTTCAGATACATTGTGTAATTGGAGGTAAAAGTCAGTAGTAAATGTAAAAGCATAGTGAAGAACAAAGCATACTTCAGTTTAATTATTGCAAATGAGTAATGGCTGGTACTTTAGACTTGGTTGGAAAGGAAACAGTAGGAACAGAATAGGATCCTGAAAGTGAGACGGTCACCTGCAATAGTGAAAGGGGGTCAGGAAGTAGAAGCTGGCAATCAGAAGCAAGTCTTTGCTGACTTCACATTGGGTTGATCTGTTTACCTTCAAGTTCACGCAAAGGTAATGAAGTGGAAGAAGGAGAAATACCACACTGGACTGCAAATATAAGTACTTTTCTTCTCAGGGTCTGGAAATTTTTTTGTTGTTCTTTAAACAAGGAAGTTTTTAGAAGCAAATCCTTCATTTAACACATCCAATTTTCAAATTGACCTTACAAAGTACTTTCCGTTATTTTTTTTCTCAAATGAGATCAAGACTGTAAAGGTGAAGTAATATGCTCAAAGTAATGTAGCAAGCCACAGAGCTTGCAGATGCCAGAGCAAAGATCTTATCCCAAAGTGGCCTGACTCAAAAGCCTGCACTGTGTTGACAACTCAAACCTGAATAACTTTATGCAACATCACTGCAAAATAATAACGATAACAATAATAACAATAATTTTCTCCTACCTTTCTTTACTCAAGTTCACAATGGTCTCTGCAATCTTGAAAATATATTTCCCTTTCTCTTGGCATTGCTTTCTTAAGAACTGAGAACTGTCGAGTGGAAACTTTTAGCAGATAATACTCATATTTAGAAGCTTAAACGAATACTTCATACACTAATGGTTTCCCAAACATTTAGCTTTATTAAGCTGATATCCTGTTTGTATAACCACCTCAATGCCTAGCACAAGATAAAAAATTGTTACTTTTAAATATGTGTGCCCTTTAAAACTCCAAAACCAGAATTCTAAACTTGGAGATACTGAGAAGGGGAAATACATTTTAAAAATTGTTCTCCTGGCTTAGTAGAACATGGAAGGGCTTGGAGTATGGGTAAGTTCATTTGTACTTGCAGGCTGAGTTACATTTTTGTTACCTCTGTATGTATTGAGCTAAACAAATCATTAAGTCAAAAAGCAGGTTACAGAATAATAATAATAGCATCATCATATTTTCTACAAATAAAATATTCACAAAAATTATCTGAAAAGAAACGCATGAAAATGTTCATAGTAGTACTATCTTTGGGATAGAATTTACATGCCCTTACACTTTTTGGATTAAATATTTCTTCCATGAATAAGGATTATTTTTAGAACCAGAAAAAAAATATTTTATTTTTGAAATTAAAAAGAACAGACTGGGTGCAGTGGCTCATGCCTGTAATCCCAGCACTTTGGGAGGCCATGGAAGGCAGATTGCTTGACCCTAGGAGTGTGAGACCAGCCTAGGCAACATGGTGAGATGCCATCTCTATTTTAAAAAATAAAAGAATCCTTGTAAAGGGCCCTAGGTAGAGATTTGTCTTAGGAAGCTCATCGCCTGCTGTAAGTTGTCTCACCTCTAACAAGCATCAGAATCACCTGGAGGAGTTGTTAAAACCCTGATTACATGGTTTCATCCCACCGTTTCTGATTCAATAGATCTATGGTCTGGCCTGAGTAATTCCATTTCTAACAATTCCCACTTGATACTGATGCTGCTGGTCTTGTGACTACATGTGGTAAGCCATACTCCTTGATAGTCTTGGTAGGTTTTTAAGAGATGAAGACATAGCTTTTTAAGGCTACTGACCTTATATTTCCTATGAAATCTGGAGAAAAGTGAGCACCCTAGGTAGGAGTTAGCTGAGGAAGATTTTTTTTCTATCATTGCCTTTCCACAGCAGCAAATTAGACAGTCACTTTTTTTAAAGAAGCTGTATGTAGCAACTGTCATATCATAGGGCCCCCCATAACAATAACCACTTTTCAAGGAAAATGGTGTAAACCAAGTATTGTTTTGTGTAAGCTTTTCTGGTTCTCATATCAAATCATTCTACTATAAAGACACATGCACATTTATGTTCATTGTAGTCCTGTATACAACAGCAAAGACCTGGAACCAACCCAAATGCCCATCAATGATAGACAAGACAAAGAAAATGTGGTACACATACACCATGGGATACTACACAGCCATAAAAAACGATGAGTTTGTGTCCTTTATAGGGACTTGGATGAATCTGAAAACCTTCATTTTCAGTGAACTGACACAAGAACAGAAAGCCAAACACTATATGTTCTCACTCATAGGTGGGTGTTGAACAATGAGAACACGTGGACTTAGGGAGAGGAGCATCACACACTGCGGGCAGTTGGGTGGGGTAGGGAGAGACATCGCGGGGTGGGGAAGGAGAGGAGGGTGGAGAGTGATAACATGGGGAGAAATGCCAAATATAGTATGCACCTAAAGTAAAATAAATAAATATTTTTAAAAATTCAAGAAGTTTTTTTGATAAGAACTTAATAAATAACCAAGTACAACATTTAATAAAATATAAACATGACTATGTTTTCTAATTTGAATACAATAGAAAGGTGATCAACTGTTATTTGAATAATATAAGTATAAATATTATAAGGTATAAAAATAAATATAAATTAGGAAGCAACAAATAATATCAGGGCTGTTACCTTTGGATCTGAGTGTTTTAAACTTATACTTGCTTAATAGACTCACAAAATATTTGCTGGATTTAACTTAAAAATGTAATGACTAAAACAGAAATAAAAGTCTTTTGAAGCATCTAAAGAGATGTGCTGGTATGATACGGCAGGTTAGTTAATGAGAATCATTTCAGGACAATACCAGGTCTTCACCCTTACTTCTTAGTTATTGCATGCACATTTGTTGATATACAGAAGGATCTCATGATTTCTACTTTGAGAGCTTCCCAGTCACAGTCACTCTATTTCTCATCTTCAGGTAGAGATGGATTCCCCAGAAATACCTCCTTAAAGTCAGTGCAGGGCTCCCAATCACTGCGGCAGATTCTCTCTCTCCTGTTGCCTGCACCAAGCAGGTATTTCAGCTGCTGATGAAGTGCAGCGTGGAGTTGGTCCCAGAGGGTTGTGTTCTAGGCAGCAGAGGAGTGCTGTGAGTGGAAGAGGCTGAAGATCTGCTGCAGCATCTCATGGAGGATATATATGGCCTGGATCTTCTGCAGCTGGATGCCATCCACCATCCCTTGGGGGAACCTGAAGTCTCTCCTGTCCTTGAGACACAAGAAAGGGGAGATTCTCCTCATTTGGCCCAGTAGCTCCAAGGTCTTCCTGCCTAGCAGGCAATGGTTCTGAAGCAGGTCACAGCCTAGAGAGCCAACAGAGCCAAGGTGCATAGCACAAGGACCACAAGTAGAGGGACCAGGAGGGCCAATGGGAAATGGGGGTGCTGCTGGCCTGGCTGGGTTGGGGTCTGAGTGAACCTTGGACCCTAGCTTCTCGGAAGACATTCTTTCTATGCATTGCTTTTAATACAGAACATATAGTTCTTATTTTCTGACCTTTTTCTGGACTTTCACTCTCACTTTTTCTTTTTGATTTTTGTTTTCTATATGGCCTAAACTATGTCATCTCTCTGAACTTTTGATCTTGACAACGTAAGATTAATTTTCCCAGTAAACTTCAGATATTCCAATACAAATGGATACTTATCAATTAAATGAGAAATGTCTTTAACATAAAGACTGAAATGTAGGAATATAAGTACAAACACACAGACACACACATCATTTTTTGTTGTTGTTTTTCATTTTTAAATATTGCTCTTTTCTGTTC